CATGCCCATAAAAGGCATTATAGAAAGAGTGCTTAGCCACAAAATCAGAAGACAGGAGTTCAGTCCCTCCTTGACCACTTAGTGGCTATGGGTATTTCTGTGTCCTTTTCCAGACCTCAGCTTCCCCATCTAGTCAGTGAAGGAGTTGGCCTATCTCCCAGGGACTGGGCTGGGCTAAGCAACACTGTCCAATAACAATATAATGTGAGTCACATATGTAACTTTTAAATTTTCTAGTAGCCACATTTAAAAAAGTGAAAAGACAGGTGAAATTAATTTCATTTATACATTTAAGCTAGCCCAGTATGTTTAAAATATAATAATTTCAACATGCAATCAATATAAAAATAATATTAAATTATTAGTAGGTCACACTTTTTCTCACTAAATCTTTGAAATCCGGTGAGTGCTTCACACTTACAGCACATCTCAGTTCAGATCAGCCACATTTCCAGTGAGACAACCACAGAGCAGCCGCCACACTGCACAGGGCAGGTCTTGAATCTCTGTCAATCCAAAGACCATCTTAGGCGGCTGCGACATCCCAGGCTCTCTCTCTCCCCACTGGGAAAGTGGTCCTGATCCTGGACTCTGAGCTGACAAGTTCCACGTAAGCCTGGCACAAGGAGCTTGGGATGACAGTGGACAGAAACCCCAGGTCTGCTGGGGCTGAGGAGGCTAGTGGCTGCTGGGAATGCTTTCACTGCCCCTGCAGCCATTACTCACTAAGCCCCTGCAAGGGAGACAACTGCTTTTCCTCCTAAACTAAAGATTCCCTTAATTGGAAATTCAGTCTGAGCTTACAACCAAGCAAGGCAGCGGCCCCGTGGGCATACAGGACGCGTTCCCCAGGCCCACGAGGAGTCCACATCTCCCTAGCAGCAGCACGTGGAGGAAGCAGGACACCACCTTCTTACTCCAGGGACTATTCCTGACTGCAGGCCTGGGAGCCTTCTTGGAGGAGCTCACCGCCCCTATGCTCAAGGGCACAGGTCTTGGCAGGAAGGACAAGGAGGTCAGGGAGAGCAAGGGGACACAGAGGGGAAGATTTTGCCCCCAGCAGGGGAGAGCCTGGGGAAATCTCTCCTTCCCAAGCTTCCATTTCCTCACTTTTAGAAGTGAGCATGTTAGAGGATGATAATGACTGTTTTTACTGTTAGCTGCTCTGTGCCAGGCATTTTACAGGCTTTAGTTCATCTCCTCAAAACAACCCTAGGAGGAAAGAAGATGCAGGGTTCAGAAAAGCTGGGTCTTTTCTCTTCAATTCTTCAGCAGAAAAGCAGGAATTCCAGCTCATGGTCTTTCAAACCAAGAGCCTAAGATCTTACCTGTTCTAAGCTCAGTCATGTCCCAGGGCGGCCCAGGACAGTCCTGGCTTAGGCCTGTCCCTGTCATAACTATATACACTTAAGCATAGTAACTAAAAATATTCCCTTTGGAACAAGGGACCAATCTTCCTTCCATAATAATTCCAAATAACATATGTTGAAACTCTTGCTTTTGTTGCTTAATTCCAGACCCTTCTCCCTCTTGAGTGTGGGCTGAATAGAGTATGGAAGGGGAAAGGGGAAATGGTAACTTCACAGCAGAGAAACCTGGCAGACACCACCTTAACCAAGGGATCAAGGCCAAGGTCATCTGTGACAAGTCATGTCAAGACCATGCACCCCTGATATGATGAGAGAGTCTTTTTCTCCAAAACCTACAACCTTTGTCTAATCATGAGACAAACATCAGACAGACCCAAATTGAAGAGCCTTCTACAAAATACCTGACCAGAATGTCTCAAGACTGTCGAGGTCATAAAAAAAAAGGAAAGATTGAGAAATGTCACAGATCAGAGAAGACTAAGGGCGCTAGACATCCAGATGCAATATGGGATCCTGGATGGAACCTAGAACAGCAAATGGACACTGGCAGAAAACTAGTAAAATTCAAACAAAGTCTGGAGGTTAGTTGATATTAAAGTATGAATGTTGGCTTCAACAAATGTATTACAGAAATGTAAGAAGTTAAGTTAGGGGACACTGGGTGGAGAGTATGTGGGGAACTCTGTGTATTATACTAGCAACTTTTCTGGCAATTGGAAATTATTCCAACAAAAAAGTTTTCTTTTTTAAAAAGTGCTCCCTTTAACTTATGAAAGTGCCCAGTTTGAGACAATAAATGATATAATCATCTGGTCATAAACCTGGCTCTGTCCTTAACTAAGAGGCCTTAAGAAAATCACCCATACCATTTTTCCATGTTAATGATACTAACTGCTCACACAGTCTCAGCAAAGCTTTGGAATCAGAAAACTAGGGACTGAAGCCCTGGTTCTCCCACTGACTTGGCAGGTGGTCTCAGGCATATTACATTCCTTCTCCGGGCCTCAGTTTCCACATCTGGGAAACAAATTCACTGAATGGCAACAATAACCAATAACTGAAAGGCTCGTGTTGAGCCTTCGCTGGGTGTCCAGCACTGCAGTGGAATTGTGATGTGCCACTGAGCTTCCCCTTCAGGACAGAAGGGCTTCTTTCTCTCCCTTCCTCTCCCCCAGCTGCTCAGAGTGCTGCCAGCTGTCAGCCCTGTCCAGGGATTGCTCTGGGCTGAACCGAGCAGGCCAGCCCCAGGTTGTGCACCTTTCTGGAAGGCAGCCTGTATCCAGTGCAGAGGGAGTAAAGATCTGCTCTCTCACCTCAGCTTGGGTGACTTGAAGGTCATGTCCGCTGCAGAGCACCTAGTGGTGGGCTGAGGCCTTTGTGGGGACTGCCCTGCAGCCCAGCATCTCCCTCTGCCTAATCCTGCTGCCTTCCTTTCCCCATAAGCATCAATCTGGAAAGTGCTCCAGATAAACTTCTTGCACACCAGTTTCCATTTCAAAGCCAGCTTCCTGGGGAACCTGTCCCATGATAGGACTGTGAACCACTGGACCTGCACTATCTTGCTTAACCCTCAGACCAACCCCGTTTGAATAGACAACACAACAGAGGTTGAAGAACAACACTAAATTGGCCAGGAACACACAACTAAGACATGGTGGCACCAGAGATGGGGAAACTGAAGCTCAGACAGACAAACTGGTGTGCCAGGTCTCTGGATGGGTGGTTGCATGGGTGTCTGGATATTTGGGTGGGTATCTGGGTGTTTGGATGGGTGGTTGGGCATGTAAGAGGATGGAAATTGGATGAGTGGATGGGTGGATGAGGAAATCGTTGGAGACGGGTGACTGTTCAGCTGGATGGTAGAGAGATCAAGAGGCCTAAGATGTGGCCCTAGGTCTGCTTAACTCTGAAGGCCACCATGCCACAGCTTCCAGCCTAGGCCATTTAGAGCCATCAGCAGGACTGCTGCAGGCACCAGGACAGGTGAGTGCCTTTCAACATTGCCTGCTTTTCCTGCAGCTCACTTCACGTTTGTGAAATGGGAATAATAACAGACCCACTTTTGGGAGATGCTGTAAGGATTGAGTTAGTACATATGAAAACCTCAGAATGATGACTGACACATAAGGTGCCCCTTATAAGTGGGAGATTAAAAACAAATCACATGAGCAGTGGAAAGCTGCAGCTGTGACTTTCTTAGAAGATGTCCCTGCAGTTGAGTGAGAGTGGGGCTGGGCTTCCTCAGCTCTGTGAGGGAGTCAGGCCTGACCCGAGTTCTGAACGGGGAGTATGAATTACACAGGCAGCAAGGGGAAGGAAGAGCAGTCCAGGCGAAGGAACCAGCAACAAAGCCCTGGGGTAGAAGGAACTTGAGAAGGATGATAAAAGGCCAGCGGGACTAGTGCACAGAAAAAAATCCAGGTCCAGGGCAAGAGTAGTAAAAAGTGAGTCTGAACAGAGGTATAGGAAGCAGATTATGAAGAGCCACTCACTAGCTAGGTGATGTAGAGTCACTTTATCTCTCAGCCTCATTTAGCCCAACTGCAAAATGGCAATAAAAATAGTACTGATCTTACAGTTGTCAAAAAGATTGAGTCAATATATGCAGACAACTTAAAATACACTATGTACACAGTAGGTGCCAAAATGTTTGACGACCACATTAGAACTTATTCTGAAGTACAGCAAGAGAGAGGAGTTTGAATATGGATGAAAGGGTGGGTGATGAATGTACAGGAAGGTGGATGGATACAGGTCTGGCAGATGGGTGGGCGAGAGAGGTTGAGTGAATGGGTTTTTGGAAAGAGGTTGGATGATAGAAGTGGCTGAATGGATGGCTGATGGCCGGGTGGTTGGGCGGCTGGATAGGCGGGTGGGAATGGATGCTGTTTCAGTGGATGGAATCATGGTTGGGTGGTGGGGGTGGTTGGATAAATGGGGGTAACTGGATGAATGGAGGTGGCCAGGCAATGGATGTATGGTTGGATGTTAGGATGGGTGGCTCAGCAATTGACTTAATGTGGATGGTTGGATGGATGGTTGGGTGGGTAAAGGGATAGAAATTGGATGGGCGGATGAGGAAATGGTTGGGTGGATGGGTGGTTCTTCAGCTGGATGGTAGAGAGATTAAGGAACTGGAAGTGACTGGATGGATAGAGGGGTTGGTGAACGGAGGGGTGGCACAGATGGGTAGTAGAGAAGTTGGGTGAATGAAGAGTTTGGGTGAATGAATGGATGACTGGGTCACAGGATGGGTGTCTGGGTTATTGCAGGGATGGAGTGACTGGGTGGTTGGATGGGTAAAGAGACAGTGAAGTGGGTGGGGGGGCTGGATTGCTGGGTGGAGAGGTGTTTGTTCTGACATTAATTAGAAAGGGAGGGTGATTGGAAGGGTTAAGTGAATGGAGGGGTCGGGTGAATGGGTGGATGGGAGTAGCTGAGTAGGTGGATGGATGGATGCACAAGGACACCAAACTCTGAAGTGCCTCCAATTAACCTGCTAAAGGTAGTGGGCGAACCCCTGGCGGTAAAAGCAGTAGAAACTGGCCTGGAGTCTCCGAGGTTGCCCTGCGCCGGGTTTCCTTTCCGGCGGAGGGCCCACCCCTTCGGCGCCCAGCCCCCGGGTCCTACCTGGAGGCGGCGATCTCCGCCTTCTGGCGCGCGATCGCGGAGGCGCGCTGGGCGCCCTCGACGCCGTGCTCCACCTTCTGGCGGACCTTGCTGCTCTTGAGCGGCAGCACGCGGCGCGTGGTGCCCTTGACCAGCACGTTGTGGCGGTACTTGCCCTCCTCGCGGTGGCCGTCGGGCAGCGTGGTGCAGCCGTAGCCGTGGCGCAGGTTGTCCAGCCACTCGCCCTCGTAGCGGAGGCCGCTGGAGCGCTCGCTCACGCCGAAGCCCGAGCGCTTGTCGTTCTTCCACTCGCCCATGTAGGTCTCCGTGGTGGTGGCGTCGATGTCGGCCTCGAAGGGCGCGGCCTCGTCGGCGCCCTCGGCGCCCTCGCCCAGGCTGGCGGTGGAGGCGGCGTCGCTGGCGCCCGAGCTGAGGTCGCTCTTGAGGAAGCTGACGCGGCTGCGCTGGCTGCCCAGGGACGTGCGCGACTCGGCGCGCCGCAGCCTGCCCAGCAGGGCGCCGCGCTGGAAGAGGCCGCCGCCCTTGGACGCCCGCGCCGCCGCCTCGGCGCTGGCCAGGAGGCTGAGCGCGAAGCCGCCGCGCGGGATGGCGGGCGAGGGCAGCGCAGGGCCGTCCGGGGCGGGCGAGGCGGGCGAGTCCGCGGCCACCGTGCCGTTGCTGTGCTCGCTGCGCAGGGACGAGAGCGACGTGCGCAGCGGCGAGCGCACCACCACGGCCATCCCGTAGGGCACACTCTGGCGCACGCCGTAGCCGTGGCGCATGCCGTTGGTGAACTGGCCTTGGTAAGTCCCTGCGGGCGAGGAGAGGGCGTGTCAGGGGGACCCCACGTGCACAGTGACCCGGATGTGCCAGGGCAGGAGGGGGCAAGGCCATTTGAGGGCCAAGGAGGGCAATGTTCAGAAAGCAGCCAAGGCTCTGAGTATGAGTTCACGTGAGTGTGCACGAACACGAACACACAAGTGGGCAAGCCAGAGGGAGTGTGCACAATTGTGTGTATATTTCCTCGGTGTGAACACAGCAAGGCCACGAGTGTACAAGATAGAGTGAGGTTGTGTGAGTCAGAGTGCCAGTGTGTGAAGCCATGTGAACAGGTGAGGCCCTGGAGTGCATGAGGTCAACTGAGTGTGCAAGGACACAAGTGGATATGCCAGAGTTTCATGACGGTGTGACTTGTTTCTGTTGCTGGGAACATGCCAAGGTCACAAGTGTGCAAAGTAGAGTGAGGTTGCATGAGTCTTAAAGTATGAAATTGTATGAGCACATGAGATTCTGGGAGTGTGACTATAAGTGAGCATACACAGATTTTGAATCACACAAGAGAGAATGAATATACACGAGTGTGAGTGGACAAGACTGAGTTTGTGCACAAATGTGAATATTTGCACTTGGAGTGTGCAATGTAATGAGAACATGCAGAATCATGAGTGTGCAAGGCAGTGTATGCACAGAGTGACTAGATCATGTCAGCATGATATACTGGGATGTACTGTAAGGTTATGTGAGCATTTGAGGTCTTGAGTGTGCAAGGAAAGGTGAAGTTGAGTGAGGGTGTAAGATCATTAGGGGTTCGAAGAGTGCGAAGTTGTGTGAGCAGGCAAGTGTCTGTCAGTATGTGAGGTTGGATGCATGTGATGGTCATCTCAGGGTGCACGCGATATGAATGTCCAAGCTCATGAATGGGTAAAATGTGATTTTGCACAGCAGTGTGGATGTCGGAGAGCACGGGGGTGTGTTGGAAAGCTAGGAAGGTGGGTATTTGCACAAGGTCATGTGTACAGAAGAGTTGTATGGGCTGCATGTCTGTCCTGTGACTATATGAGATCATGAGTATGCAGTACACACACAGTGGGGTGAGTGCCCAGGATCCTGTGAAGGTGTGAGAAGTTCTGAGTGTGCAAGGCCATCCAAGTGTTAAAGCACAAAGGAATATGAGGCACTTGAGGCTGAGTGAGTGTGTAAGGATGTGGGCATTAGTGAAACAGACTGTGGAAGACCATTTGCAGGATAGTGGCATGTACAAGGCGATGTCAGCAATGAAGGCTCTGCGTTTGCATGAGTGTGAGCATGTGAGCTCCTGGGAACAGGGGTCTCTGTAAGTGCCTTGCCTTCACCTTCATGCCTCTGGTATGTGAAGTGCCTGACAAATAATAGTCACTGATTTGAGGGGGGAAATTCAGAGCTTTTGTTTTAAACACAGGCTGATACTTTCCCCTGCATAACCAAGAAGACCCAAATGGCCTTCTTACCAGCAAATGCCCAGGTGGCCAGGTAACTGAAACAGCCAGCCAGGTATGGGATCCCTAAATTCAGCCCAGTTGGCATGCTTTCACTCTGTCTGCTGGGGTTCTTTGGCACTGTCTGTTCCCTCTGCTGGAACACTTTTCCTCCAGATACCCTTCAAGTCTTTGCTCATGAGGCTGACCCTGGCCACCCTATTTAAAACTGCAATCTTCCTGTGCCACCCCACAACAAACACCCAGGTATCCCTGATCTACTTCCGCTTTTTTTCTATAGCACTTATCACATACCGTATGACTAATTTATTGCATTTACTGCCTTCCTCCGCAGCTATAACGGAAGCTCCGTGAGAGCAGGGATCTTTCCAGTTTGTGCTCTGATGCATCCACAGCACCTGGAACAGGGCCTGGCACAGGTTGCTCCATACATATTTGCTGATCGATTGCTGCACCCATCCAGAAACCCCATCTCATTGGCAACTCTTGTCCCTTCTTGAGGCCTCCCGTGCCCCACCTGTCAGTGACATATTGGAGATGAAGCGGTCTAAAGCTTGGCCTAATTTTGAGACACTGGGCTTCCAGGATCTGGGGCACTGGGATTCTGGAGGCAAAGGCTGGTGGGTCCCCGTGACTCCACAGTGCCTGGGTCCGCCCAGCACAGGCTCCACCAGTTCAGGCTTCCTCCCTCCCCCGCCCCTGCCCTTCTGCATGAAGAGGGTCCCTGGAGCTTCCAGACCCTCTTCACAGTAGGCATGGGCAACCTGGATGAGGCACCAGGGCCCTCCTCCCTTCAGGGACTAGCCATGAAAAACTGATGATCTAAAACGGCCAAAGGAAAGTGGGGAGAGAGGGGAGATCACTCCACCTGGTCTTGTAGAGGAAGATGCAAATATGATCTCCATTTCCCAAGTGGATTGATGTTCAGAGAGGTTGTGTGACTTGCCCTAAGTCACACAGTAAGGAAGGAGCCGAAGTGGAATTTGAACTGAGGTCTGACTCAAACCGAGGAACCCGGAAAATGGGATTGTGTGGCTGGTTCAGGGAACAGAGAAATGAGAGCGTGGTACAAAGGATGAGAAAATGGGGAGATGGATAGATGGAAAGCAAATGTGTTCCAATTTCCAAACTCATTCACATGTGGTCACATTGTATGGGAGGCAGGGGGACAGAAAAAGACATGGAATCAGAGAAAAACTGATTTCAAGTATCATTTAAGCTTGGGAACTTTGGACTAGTTACTTCTGATTCTCAATTTCCTCATGTGAATAATAGAAAAATAAGACTTGCTTTCCAGGATTTGGGGGAAGATGAAAAAGGAGACAACAAAAAATGGAAACTGACATGTCCATCCATTGGTAAGTACCTAAATAAGCTGTGGTCACCCACACAGTGGACTCCTAGTCAGCGCTGAAAGGGAACAGATCACTGCTACATACCACACAGGTGGGGCTCAAAACCATGCCGAGCAAGTGAAGCCTGGGACAAAATCGAACAACCCGCATGATTCCAGTCACATGAACACCTGGGGAAAATTCGCCTGCAGTGACCAAAAGCAGGTCTGGGGCTACCAGGGCTGGGGTGGGAGGCATCCTCTGCTAAGGGACAGGAGGGAACTTTTTGACTGATGGAAACATTCTGCATCTTGAAGGCCTGGTAGTTAGAGTTGTACACGTTGGTCAGGACTGTCTGCTTAATATGCATTTTATGGCAGGGAAATTATACCCTGATAAAGCTGATTTAATAGATAAATAAAATAAAGAGATAATTTGTAAAGAAACTTTTAAGAAAAAAGAAAGAAAATGCCCAGCACAGTGTTCAAGTAACCATCAAGAAATCCTGTCAGCGACCCTTTCAAAATGAATGTAGAGTCCAGCCCCTTCTCTCCACCGCCACCGCTACTGGATGGCAGTCCAAGCCACCGCCACTGTCTCCTGCCTGGATTTTCCTAAGGGCTTCCACACTGGACTCTTGCCCCCACCCTTGCCCTCTTCCGTCTACTCCTAATACACCATCAGAGGGGTTCTGTTCAAATGCAGTCAGCCAGATCATGACACTGTTCTGCCACTTCTTACTCAGAAGAAAAGCTGAAGTCCTTAGTGACCCACAGGGCCCTAGCTGATCTCATTCCAGTCACTCCTCTGGCCTCACCCCCTCCTGTGCTCCCCTTTCTCAAACTATACTCTAGCATAAAGGCCCCTTGCTGTACCTTCCACACCCTAGCTATGGTCCTGCTTCAGGGTTTTTGCATTCGCTGTTCATTCTGCCTGGAATATTCCTCCAGATACTACTCGCCATCGCCATTCGGGTCAAGACTTTACCCAAATGTGATCTCAGTGAAGCCTCGCCGACCACCTGTTTAAAATGATAACCCCCGCCCAAGGTTATCTCCCTTCTTTGCTTCATTTTTTCTCATAGCATATCTAATATAGCATGTATTTTACTTTTGTTTATTGACCATCTGCCCCACCAGAATGTAAGTCCTATAAAGGCAGGGTTTCCATTCTTTTTTGTTGGCTGCTGTAACCACAGTGCCTAGGACATGCCAAAGAGGTACCAATAAATATCTCAATTGAATGAATGAGCAGCATGGGTGCTGTAACTGTTTATGCTCTTCTTTCTGCTCTACCCATCTGAAAGAGGCTCTGTGAAAATGACCAGACAGATATTTCATGGTCTCTAAGACTCACCCAAGATGATACAGCTAATAAATACACCAGAGCCAAAGCTCACATCCATGTGTGGCTGTGCACCTTCCACTTGTCTCAAAAGAAAGAAGGACATAAATAGGAAAGGGGAAAGTGAATGAGAACAGAGTAGAGAAGATGGTAAACTGGGGAAAGGGAGAGGACATCTAATCTTTGGACTAGACAAGTTTGTGAAACTACCTTTAGCTTACCTTTGGCATGAGTTGGGCTGACATTGTCCCTTTAAGCCCAAGAAAAACTGAGATTGCAACAGGAGAGCAGCTCTTGACCACAGTTGCAGAGGAAACAGCCAGGCTATATTAGGAAACTTACAAGCAAGTGGCAAGAGGCACAGACACCCAGGGGAGGCTGGGAGTGACGGGGCCCTGAGAAGGGGGAAAAGCCAAGTGCCTGGGCCATCCCCAGCCTGACTCTCTCTAAGACAGGCCAGCTATCCCTGGGGACAAAAAGAACACATCCGAAAAGGGACAGCAGGAGGACCCTGCCCACAGCTGTGTGGATGAGAGGGGCCATCTGCAGAAGAAAGTATCTCCTGACAGCCTTGGTCTGGCCCCCTCACTTGGCCTTGTAAGCCATACAGGGCTCCTCCCTGCCCTCAGGGTAAGAGGCAAGATTCTCAGCAGCCTACCAGCCTGGTGTGACTGCCATGCTCACCTCTCCTGATCATCTTGACCACCTCTCCAATCACACTCACCTGCTTACCCCAGGACCTTTGCACATGGTTTCCCTCCTCTTCCTGGTGTGAGCAATCTCCTGAGAACCTCAGAATCTCCTTCCCCTTTCCCTGAGCAACTTCTATTAATATTTCAAGCTTCGACTTAAACATTACTTCATCCAGGAAGATTTCC